TGGGCTTTATAGTCAGGACTGTGATGGTGGCCCCACCGGTTTTCAGGAGCAGGATGAAACAACTGTTGCAGAAAACGTTGTTGTTGGGGTTTTTTATCTTGATGGAGGTAGTGTTGTCCAGGAAAGGTATGAAAGCTTTGTGACACAGTATTTTCTGGTTGATATCCAAAATCATGGAAGCTGTCCGACATATCTTTTGGTTTTTCATAGCTAGGATTGCGGTTCATGACAGGCCAGTTTTGTACACCCTTACTTTCTAGTGGCCGTAAACCGTAATCATACATGTTGAAGGTTCGAGGTTTACATGAACCTTTCTTTTGAAGACAATGTGACTCAGGAACAGCCAAGCTAATATGGTAATTAGGTGCATCTTTTTCAAACACTTTATGATAAGACTTGGGCTCACCACCAGTTGCTGCATGGAGCTCAGATTTTGGCTTGTTGAGCCTTCCATCACTGTACCAGTGAGGGTTTTCAGAGACTGGATAATGGTTAAAAGGTATTTGAAAGTGCATATCAAGCCGTCTTGGAGGAGGATCTGATGATGGATATGCACCATACGAGTATTTTCTGGGAACAGGAGATTGATAGTGAGACTGTTGTGGATGCAAATAGCTGGGTGTCATTTCATGTCCAGAACGCCAATAGTGCCCAGCTATAAGAGAACAAAAAGAAGTCACGCTGCAGAGTTCATTAAATATTACAGATTTTCATTCAGAGACAGGATTACTGAGGTGGATGTGCAACTTGGACACAAAAATCTTTGCTCATCCCGATGTGCCCAAAGCCGAGTTAACTGTCCCGTGTCTTTGTGTTAACAATAGTTGGAATTTCTACAAAGCAGCCATTGTACTGAGCATTTTGAACCCAGCTAAGTGGAATTAACCTCACTATGGCTACCACTCTCAAAACAGGAAAAAGAAAATCTGGAACTGAAAACAGATTTATACCCAAAATGTTGACCTCTTAACAGCATTTTGAAACTCAGTTGCATAGACAAATAATGTGTAAAAATTCTTTAAAAACCCCCATCCGGCTCACCTTGTCCAAATGAATCATTCGCTATACTCAGACAAACCAGCAAAAATCTTCAACAGAAAGGAAAAAAATACAGAGACAATATATTAATTAACCAAAATGAATCACACAATGTGGTCACTGCATTTTGGCTTCATATCCAAATGTGTTACCTTGCGACTGGGAAACCAGAGAGCATCATGGCACCGGCAGCATTCAGGGTTAATCCAGTCTGAAACCCGAGGCAATGAAATACTCAACAAACGAGCCCACAGGCTGCTCCGTCGGCTGGAATCGCAAGATTCTCGGCGGACCGCAGCGGACACAGATAAGCTCTCTTATTTGTGACTTTACTACCAGACGAAGGCTCTCGGGGTGTTCGCAACCATGCCCTCCAACAGTGAGCCGAGCAGATGCAGACAGGGCTCTTAAAACGCCTCACAAACCGGCTCTCACACAGGTGTGATCACTGCCACTGATTGCCCAGATTGGCACAGAGTACTTATCCATCCCCAAGAGCAAGTGAGCAATGGGAATAAAAGCCATTCCAATTCCAGGACTGATTTATCCCATTGCACGGGTGCTTTTTAAGAAATGCCTGTTCTGCTTCCTTTCAGTGCCTTTTTTTTTTTTGCAGCAGCATTTCACCAGCTTGCATTTGTGAAAGGTCGGATGTTATAATGGCATCCACAACATACTGTTTGGTGTCATTTGTAATCATTAAAACTCAACAGAGTGCCTGTCAGCTGTCGCGCGGTCCTTGTTCACTCTGCCGTTCACTGAACAGACCGCAGGAACGTAGCCGACTTCCAAATCTGTCATTTTACTGGTAATGCAGAGATTTGTCTAAGTGTAACCACTCTGAACCTTTAATGTTTTAAAGGACGTAGCACATCC